ACTATTTACTACTTGTACTACTACTCCTACTTCACGGTTTTTCACTTATCGCGGGTCTTTGGGGGTATGGATCCCCCGTGATAAACGAGGGACTACTGTACTACACGTCACAGAAATGAACAACTGGAACAAACAAAAAAATTGTACTTTTTTTTTTTTTTTCTTCTGAACAGTCACGTGCATTTGTTGGATTTAAATTTTGTTCTGGGATCTTCACAGATCTAAGTTTTCAGGCTGCTGCCAGAATCATGTCTGTGCCGAAGTTTGATGCTTTAAAAGTCATGCGAGACCTCAGTCAGAACTTTCCCAGTAAAGCAAGGTAAGAATTTATTTTTTAATCTAGCTCACTATTATATATAATCCAACTTCAAAATCCATATCACATCCATATCACCTCTGTTGCAGAAGGTGAATCTAAGCACGATGGCTGCTTGTTAAACTGCACATGAAATATTACACAAATAAACCCTTTTTATTTGAACATTATTACTTGCTCTCCCTCCCTGGTCGACCTTACACTTCTGTAAGATATAGATAGAAATATGCATTCATCTGTTGTGCAGAGAACTAATGAGCTTTTTTTGAAGTTTGCATATTTTAACGGGCAGATTTTAATAACTTTAAAAAGTGCTGAGTAGGAGGTGGGTGTTTACAGCAAATTGACTGCAAACCCGCCATCTTGAAGGCCCACAGGTTTTTGAAGATTAAAACGGGCATTTTACAGCAGACTGGGGATGTGGTTAAAGCTGATGGTGACTGTACATGTTTTACTGTTCCCACAGATCACTGACAAGAGTGGCTGTAAAGAAGGAAATGAGAAAAGAAATTGAGGAGAACCAAAAGGTGTGATATCATGATCTGTCTTCCTGCAGCATTGCGCGTGCTGGTATCTTTGAAAACATCTGCGCAAGTTTTCATTTTAGAGAAAATACTTTTATATGATTACTTGTAGTTGTTTTTTTGTAGATTTTGTCCACGTTTTGTCCCTTCTATAGTAGTCTCTTTTCACGTTGTTTTCTCAAAGATGCAGGCATCAGTGGTAAACACTCGTTGAAAGGCTTTGACATTTGATTGATGTGTTGGGCTTGTTTTTCCAGCATCTCGGTGAGACAGTCGGTGTTCACCCGGGGGACGGAGAGCTATTTATCAATGGATTGCACATTGATCTAGACATTCACAACCCTTTCAGGTAATAACCCACAGAAGGACGCAGCGTATCTCCACATCAGCTCCGTCATCTTGGTGCAAAAAGATTAGAGCGCGCACACTACAAATGCAAATGCTACACAGTTATTGTCTTTGTAAAATAACCATCAGTTTTTGCTTTCACAGCCTTTTGGAGATCCTCAGAACAGAAGCCAGGGTCTTGGAGGGGCTTCAAAACTTAGGCATCAAAGGAGAACATCAGGGCAAATTGCTGAGGTTACCAGTGAACAGCGTAGATGACAACTACGCCTTAGACATTAGACATCCAGCTATAATGGTGAGCCCAGACCAACACAATTATTATGCTGTATAATAATAATTATTTTATTTCTCTTGTTAGATCAACTCTACATATGTTCATTTCACTGTGGACTTAGACTGGTTTGGGAATTAAACTATGAAACTTCTGTGACTTTCTCTACACTACCCAAAACTTTCTTTTTTTTAACTAGCAAAGAAACAAAAGTATATAAACGTTAAAAGTAGAGAGTATCAAGTGTGTCCACATTTAACCTGAATGTGTTCGTTTTATCTTGCTTGTGTTTCTGAAACTTAGAGTCTCACACGACATGGTGACACTCTCCAAGTGATACAAAAACGTTGACTGTATAGGCCTGCGGGTTGCAGACGAGCGGATCAGTTAATGCCAGATTGGCCTGCTGTGCTAGAAAGGTTTACATTTAATATATAAAGAGTTCCTCTGATAAAATAACATTTAAAAGAAATTCATTGACCCCTGTCCTTTGTTAAAAAAAGCCTCAACAGTTATTAGTAGAACTAACGTCATGTTGGAGTCCTTGACGAGTACTCACTGAATCATCAGTGTTGTTCCTGTTGAAACATTAAGTACATCCAGTAACACCAGTAATTTATTCTCAACATCTCTGACTTAATTGTTGATGTGTTTGCTCTGCTGAAAGCTACAGATGCAGACTGGAAGAAAACCTCATAAGATTTTTTCCTTTTTTATTTTTTGCACTGTTTGTCTCAGTGGATGAATGACATTGAAAATGACCCGATGTACCGGAGCTGGCCAGCAAGCATGCAGGAGCTTCTCAGAGCCACCTTTCCTGGAGTCATCCGGCAGATCAGACGCAATTTCTTCAACCTGGTGAGAAAAAATATTGAAACTAGGAAATGTTTTCAATGTAACTTAACCGATCCAGAATCAACAGGGTTTATTTTAGTCAAATCTGCAGTGTTTTATCGTGCAGCTTTTCATGTCATGTCACAGTTAAACAGAGAACTCCACCAGAAATGTTTTAAACTGATTTAAAACAGTCTATGACCCAATTGTCCATTAAACACTTTATTTAAGTTCATAACAGCTGTCAAAACGTGATTTTTTTATGTTACCGATTTACCATTTTTTATACATATGCTTGATTTTTTTGTTTTTTTTCATTCAACCTTTATTTATACAGGTTAGTCTTATAGAGCCTCAAGGACTCATTTGCAAGAGAGACCTGTATCATTTATGATTAAAAACAGCCACTAAATATCCACCACTCACTATCAGAAGTCTACAGTATTCACTAGTACACTTTGGACAGTTTGAGCGTGCAGCATCTGTTGAGGAAGTAAAATAATCCCTGTATGTAAACAGAGACGCAGGTCTGAAGTGATAAAGTTCTTTCTTCATCTGAACAGGAACAGCATTGAATCGCTGTAAGAATAATTCAGTTCAATTCAGTTTATTTCTATAGCACCAAGTCGCAACAGAAGTCATCTCAGGGCACTGAACAGAAACATTCATATACATAAAAAGTAAGTTACCGTAATAACATTATTTATCTGAGAAGCAGACTGAATAAGTATCGACAGGAGTAGTGTAACTTAGGGGGGAGGAAATTGAGTGGTGGGGAGCGCTAAAGCAAAAGTTGGGACTAAATATTCAAATGAGCTGTGTTGAGATAATTCAATCTTTAAAAGGAAAATTTCAGAAACTGCTGAATTTAGTTGTAAATAAAGGCGAGGAATACTGTTTTCTAAAGCAATTTTTACAAAAGCTTTTAAGATTTGGAGTTAAATTACCCCCAAACAATCGTTTAATGATGTAGAAAATGTAGAAGCATCCGCCCATCCATTATCTTTACCCGCTTCTTCCTTTTCGGGTCACTGGTGCCCATGTCCAGCAGTCACTGTGAGAGGGGCGGGGTACACTCTGGACAAGTCTCCAGTCCATTCACTCTCTCACTCACACCTAGGGACAATTTAGAGTTACCGATCAACCTAACATGCATGTTTTTGGTCTGTGGGAGGAAATCGGAGTACCTGGAGAAAACCCACGCATGCACGGAGAGAACATGCAAACTCCGCCCAGAAAGGCCCCCAGCCAAATCAAAAACAGAGAAAAATCACACATTTTTTTATTTTGTGAATCAAGTTTAGCTTCTTCATAATCATTCCTTTGCTCTTAGGTGCTGTGTCTAGATCCACTGCAGGAAGAAACTGTGGAGCTGGTGAAGCTAGCAGAACTTTTCTACAGGCATAAAATCCCCTTGAGGTTGGTGTTGTCATTTCTCACACTTCCACAGATGTTTATGCGGTCCACCCTTGGCATTTATAATCCTTACAAGGTAGTGATTCTCATTTTACCTGCAAATTGAATACTTGTTTTGCCCCTGCTCCTATAGAATTGGATTTGTGTTTGTTGTCAACACCAAAGATGAGATTGATGGCCTCTCAGATGCTGGAGTTGGATTTTACAGACTGCTGAATTACATTGCAGACGAGTATGATTTATCCCAGGCTGTGATGTCTATAGTCTCTGTAAGTACATCACACATATAAATCTATTGTTTTAGCAAGTGTTTCTTGCCAGCTCATATCTCTTTGTGTCTCAGAAGTCCATTAATTTATTGTACTTGCCTGATGTTATCATACACTTTAAAGCATTTTTTGACAATATGTGTAAATGAGATTTTACCATAGCCATTAGCTTTTTCAAAATAGAGACAGACATTATTGACATTGGCAGTGATCTGAAGACAGTGATGCTCCGGCCTGAAGTGATGTCTCATTCCTTGCAGCTGTACAGTAAATTAGATGTGGGGGAGATGCTGTCTGCTGGTACAATCACTGCTTACTTAAAGAAAAAATACCCAAAAGCCAATGCTGAGAGGATTTTAGGAGTCAACTCTGAGTATGATTATAAAAGAAAGGTAAGATAAAACTTTAAATTGTTCATTTACAATTATTGAATAAAAGTAATCGTAAATACTTAATCAGTAGTAATAAATACTTACAGCGAGACATTTGCTCAATAATTTTTTGTGCCCTCAGGACGGTTCCTCCTTCTACAAAAAGAGTGGCCTGGGTGCCCTGCCTCTGGCTTTATTTAATGGAGTTCCTCTAAACCCAGACGAGATGGACCCAGAGGATTTGGAAACCATAATCCTGCAGCGCATAATGGACACTACCACTGCCTTTCAGAGAGCTGCCTTCATGGTAAAATTAGCTTCTTCTCTTCCTCCTGTGAAATGTGTTAGATTGAAAATTATAACCTTTAAGGAGCTAATAAATAAACATAAAGCTGTGTTAAGGTTGGTTTGTTTATTCTTGTACTGTTAATTTTAGGAAAACTAAAAATGGTTAAAATCTCTTATCGAATGCATCATTGTAATAGATTAAATTTTATAAAGAGATTTCATTAAAACACTTTCATTATTGTTAAAGTTCAAGTTCACTGCAAGTTGAAATTAAATGTTTTCTCTAAGCTGTACATGTTGCTCCATTTGTGGATTTTTTTATGTTTGTGGTTCAGACATGAGCCAGATATCCATCAAACTTGCCAGTGACGTACCTTTCAAACCTTTTGGTCCTTGACTTTACAGGGTCAGCTAACCGACAGCTCAGACGTGGTGGATTATCTAATGGAGCAAGCTAACGTGGTTCCCAGGATGAACCCACTTGTTTTAAGCACTGACAGAAAGTACCTTGACTTCACTGGCACCCCAGGTAGTCTTTGCTTTTCATTTTACACAGTTTAGTTTTGATTCACTGCATGAAAATTTGTCATGTCATTCTTATTTCCTTTGTTTGCAGTTGTGGATGACTGGGAGGACACAAGTATGTTTTCATTCTTGGATGCAAGAGACAGAACAGCCGTGATTGCTAAGAGAATAAAGTATTTCACAAATAGTGGTAGGTAGCTGCATCATTTTCCCCTTCCTTTCATCTGTTTATGTCTTTTTCACACAAGCAATAACCTGCGACTGTGAAAGCTGTTCATACAGGACAACTAGTTTTCATCTGAAGTTCAGAACCTGCTGCACTTGGACTGGGAAATTTTGTACTGATGTAGCGTTTGCAGCAGTAATGGAAGACGCTGCACATTCTGTCATGGCAAGGACGACTGAACTATGAGAGCGCAGGTATCTGGCTAGGATGCCTCTTTTGGGCTTGTGTGAATAGAAGGAAATTCTCAGAGGAGATCCAGGACTTGCTGGAAAGATTATGTTGCTCATCAGGTTTTGGAACACCAGGTAGGGCTGGAGAAAATGACTGAGGTGGGAGAGGCTGATAGAATGAGTCATATATCAGTAGAATATGTGTAAAATGAGCTATACCTAAACAAAATGACCCTTATGCTGTCCAGAGGACCTGACAACCTTGTGAGATTAATCTAGCTGGATTATTGAGCATGCATCAGGACGAACCCATACTGCTTTTCCAACAAATTAATAAGTGTAATTGGCCTTGTAGGGGTAGACATGTTGTTTCTACAGCAGAGCCACTGCAGCGGGTTTTTTTCAAATGTCATTCGGTTAAATGTCTAATGGCCCTCAGAGTTGTGTTTAGACCCAGAGTGTAGCTCAGTGAGGCTGAGGAAGCTGATTTTAGTTCTCCCTCTGTGGATTTGCTGATGAGCCAAATGCCTGTTTTTCACACTGTGTGGCTTTGTGGAAAATAACTCTGATCTGTGACACAGTTCTCCTATAATGTGTTACAGTCTTTCTCACCTTTGACGCACAAACTGATCCTTCACTTTTATCACTGTATCTAATTTCCTTCTCACTTTCTTATTTAAATTTAAGTGTACAGTGATCAGCCTTAATATAACCTCTCATCTAACACTGAGGAGGTTTTTCTCATGCTGTCAAGACAGCTCTGACCGCATGGACTAATATTATCTGCAGGTGCTAGTCATAAAATTAGAACATCATGAAAAAGTTGATTAATTTCAGTAATTCCATTCAGAAAGTGAAAGTTGTATACTAAATTCATTCATTCATTCAAGTATTAACACACAAGTGAAATGTATTGCTTATTTTCCTGCTAAAGTTGATTCAATTTTTTTGTCTGGTGTGTTCACAGGTGTTTTGAACTGAACAGCTTCTAAGGCCTGGTTTACCTGCGATATTACTCTCCAAGCAACCTGTTTGGTTATTTAACTAGATGGGGTATTTTTACTTTCAGGACATATAATTACTCAATGATATTTTTTTTTCCCCAACACTCATATTGTTGGACAACTTTAATGCTTCTTTTTTAAGAGAAAACAAGCCTTTTTTTAGTGGGCAGATGAGTCAAAACAATAAAGACACTGATGTCTTCCAACAAATACTTAAGTTTTGTTGAAATACAACACTGTGCTAGAAGGACCTGCATCTCTAACATCACATGGACATTACATTTATGCTTGCCACCATCCTAAACATTTCTGCAACTCATTCACACGCCCCTCAACAAGGCAGCACAATTTCACTAGTAGCAGCCCATCACCCTGACAGGAATGAGGTGGGTCCAGCAAAAACTACTTAGAACTGGTTCAAAACACATAAATAATCTAACGTGTTCACCTTATCTTTAAACACTCCAGATACAAATTCAGTGTGATTCTATAAAATGTTAAGGGCATTATCACAAATTCATTAAGACCCCACCCCAGAAACTAAGTCACTAACAGCTATATATATATATATA